GAAAAGTAATTAACATTTTAAATAGGGGAAGTTCAATTTAGATCAGACTGAACAGATATAGTGTTTACAGCTAATACTAACCATGATGACTGGCCATGACCATACTGACTTCCAGGTGTGGTTTAGGCAACTTTTCCAAACTGTTACAAAATCAGCATGTTCCAGATTGTTCCTTCAATCATCTCTCAGGGTTATCAGGGTACCTGATGCTCCTCTGAGTAGGATCCTCCTTCTCTTCTTTCCCTGCTAAAGGTCCTAAAACTTTTATTCCCAATGAGCAAACTCAATCCCTAGGAGTGCCCCTGTACCTGTCCTCTGAGGTAGTATTCTAGAAACTCACACCTGAGAACAAACAGCACAAAATATTACATGGGTGATAAAAGCAATGTTTCCTTTGCTTCTTCTTCTAAGATACCTTTCTTTTTCTCTCAACATTTATTGCCTTTTCCTCTTCTATAGCTTTGCGGTCTTTTTCAACCTGGCACATTAAAACCATTTCCATGTCTGCGCCTTTCCCAAAATGTATTTCTTCAATATTGAGTCTTTGCATGCAGTTTTCTTCCTCCTCTTCCCTAACAATGGTTCTGACAGTTCATCTTTCCCCATCCCAGCTCTTCAAGTCTGAAAAGGTACTGTCCTTGCAGTTCCTCTCTCTAACTCAATCAGTTTCTTCTTTCACTGTCTGAAAGACATGTGGGGTGATCCCTTATTTTTCCTTCCACTTCTCTTTCCATGTTAGCAGTCACTTCCTCTTTCTTTTCAGACTCTTCCACTGATCTTTGAAATGACAGAACATTGTGACATTAAAATGGTGGTATCAGGATGGACAGATACGACTCAATTCTTTATAATTTTACATGTGACAGGAGAATGTGGCTTTCTTGCTGTTTTCAAATGTAATAACTACAGATTAAGAGAAACTAAGACAAAGAGATCAACACTATAGGAATACTACCTAGCAAACCAATCCTAAACACCAAAACAAAAGTATTTTACCTACAGTGCTGTGATTTCTGTTATATGGACATTGATTTCTCTTCTTTCCTTGTCCCCTCCCATATATTTTGCTTATTTTGCTCCAGTATGTGTGTGGTTGGTTCTAGTCACATACTAGCTTATCATTTGTTTAGTTGGTAAGAAGCAGTAAGTGAGCATAAATGAGGTCCGTATTAGACGGTAAGAAATCTGTGATTGAACAGCCTCGATGCAGTCTAGCCTCAGCACTCCCACACTGTACTGTCTTTTTCCTTTTCCTGCTATCATTATCTGCCATAAGATAATTAGGTACATGGTTCTCACTCTACAACATGCAGGCCACATGCATCCCCTTTGTTTGCCTAGATAATTCATCTCATCTGACCAGCTGCAGAGGTTAAGTACTAGTTTGACATGGGTGTTGTGCTCACATCTGAATAACACCTCCTCTTCAGTTTCTCACACCAGACAAATTAAATCCTGACTTTTCTCTGTACCTAACCAAGAAAATCACACATAATCTTCACTGCTCCTTTAACTAGCAAGCGTGTTGACTGGAGGTTAACTAAGTATCATTGTGTTCTAGAAAAAAGGTTAAAAAAAGCAAAAAACGTCCACGGGGAAAAAAAAGTACCATCTTTAGAGTTAGCTAGTACTATTTTCCCTACTAGCAATGTATTCATCTGTTAGTAAATACTAATATTTTGGGAAAGTGCACACATGTAATGCCTACTTTCCTTATAGTGAAGAAGGTAGACATAGAGGTATGCACTGTTCATATTAGCTTGGTTCTTTCATGTTTAGAGGAGATTCTTTCTGGAACAGAGAATTACTTTCTTTGGTTGAGAAATATTCTAATTAAAACTGCTACCAGGGCAGAAAATAGTAGCCACTGATGACATGCATCTCCATTGAACTGTGTGTTCATGGGCAGGATGAAGACTCAGTTTGCATGAATTCCCAGATCTTAAGAGTCATGTTACGTGAGTTTTGCAAACGTTAATGGGAAAATAATTTGTGCAATACTATTTCTGAACCAAGACTTAAAGATCTGTAATCTCTATGGGCCTCCTTATAATTGTACAAATGTTACTTAAAAAAAAAAATAATCAAAAACCAACTACAGCACTGCAATTCTTCAAAGATTTATTTTTTTCCACTATCTGCCTATGCTAGCTGTGCATTTCATTTTAGTTTTGTTTTTTGTCAGGTATTGGAAAGAACTGTAGAGTGTTATATTCCCTTTCATGTACCCATCACTCAATTTATAATAAAAATTTCAGTGCACATCAAAAAATACATTTTATAGAAATTTGTTGTGACAGAATTAAACTGCATGAAATTTTACAGTATTTGTAGAACTCTCAAAGTCATGTATTTGATTTCCAGCAAAACTACTTCTTTCCAAAGTACAGTGAGTGTTCTATACATCCCACCAATAATGTACAGGGCATGTTTACGAAAGTATCTGGGCAAATAACAGAGTGCACACTCTTGAAAAAAGGACAGTTTTTCAAATAGCATAGTATGTATGGCACAAAATTGTGTCATAAACGAAAAATGAAAAGGGCCAAATGGCTCTTTTCGTGGTTGGTTATCCATTTTATACATGCCTTTGTGTGATTCAGTAGAGTGTAATCCCTATTGGTAGCTTTCAGTGGTTATACTTTCCAAGAAAAAGTATTTTGGTTCAGTGATTAAAATGAGGTCTACATGTACTTTATATTAAATTCATTATGCAAGCTTATCTTTTACAACTATATTTCAGTTGTGTTCCCTGGTGGAGATTTACTTCATGTTTCCAGGTTAAAAACCACAAACCCCAGTGGAGGCGGATAAGATCCACCCACTACTGTACAAAAAAACCTTAGCTGTTTGCTAAGATTTTATTGCTGCAATAGGAGCCAGTTATGACTTCAAATTAGCAATTGATGAAATTTGAGAAATTACTTCCTCCTCTGGGAGGAATTGTGGTATAGGTGTTTTGTTGATTACTGTTTGAATGTAATATGAGTAACAACGTAGTTCTTTTATGGAAGTATCAGTCCTTTTTTTAGCATGACATACCTGGTTTGATAAGCCTTTATATATTACTTATGAGAATGAAGCTTACTGCTATACATATGGGAAGAAATGAATGACAAAATGACCTCACTCTTACATGGACCTGTAAACCTAATTACAAGAATTTCTCTATTTTCGTCGTGTATACATTCCTCTGTGGGGCTTACAGTTCTCCAATAATGTTATTTATATTAAAGCTTCCATACGTTTGCTTTCATGCAGTCATTTTATTACAGAACATTCTTTTAACATTCAAATACTTTGGATGATACTTACAGTATTATTCTGGAAATTCATCTAATAAAAACAATGTCTGTGGATATAACTTTATGACACTCTGACAGTTATTTAATTGGAACAATTTCTTTCCCCAACATGATGTGCCATTTAAATAATTTTACTGAACTAAATTGTGAATAACTGGGGAATGGGAAGGGTGTGCTCTGTATCTCGATTTTCAAATTTCTGAATGAGAAATAATAATGTTGAAACCTGCATGATATATATTGCACAACATGTGAAACTGACAGAAACATTTTTCTGTCTTCTCTAATGGATTATGAAGCAGTTGACTTTTTGCCAGAATATTTCCTCATTACTTGTTCAGCTCAAAAAAATCCTTCATCATCTACCCAGCACCTCTGTGTGAATTGTCAATAGATAAATCATCAGCTTAGCTGAATATGAGGCATGGAATTTACAGTTCTGTAAAGTCTAGAAAACGCTAACTAGCTAAGTATTTAAAAAGTCCTACACTTTTCACCAAAATTAAAAGAAGAAGCACATTCTCCTTGAACAGGACTGGCATCCCCTGTGTTCCAGCCATGAGATGACAGTTTCAGTGCAAAGGCTTCATGAGTTTGACTGACAGTGCAGCAGAGAGAAGCCCTTGAAGTTGGCACAGCCAGCTATTGGAGGATTGGTGTTGCAGCATGACTTGGATAAATGGAGTTGAAGAAGAAAAAAAAATAAAATCACTGTTTATCAGTTCATCATTGCCAGTCTGACCTGCTGCAAATAGCATGAAAACAAAACTGTGAAAATTTGCTTCCTGTGAGTGGCTCAGACAATGTAGCTGCTCTAGCTGCTAATAAGAAAAGAACTTTTCTCCCTAAATACTCCTATTTTGAATGATTTGTTGTAATACTTGGGAAAATGGTGCACCTAAATATAAAGAGACAAAAATAATTTCCAGGTTCCGAAGTAAAAATATAACTGCAAAAAAAATAATTGAAAGTTTTGGCTGTAAAGCGAGAAAGAAATGTTTTATGGTTCTGTATGTCAGGTAGGAGACAGGGTTGGCTAGTGCCTGCAACTATAAAAACACACAGAACTGATTCTTTAGTGTCATGTTCTTCCGGAAAAGTTTGAAATCTAAAGCCAAAACAATCAAGGAAATCCTGGACCTTAGAATGATTCCTGGACCTTAGAATGATTATGGTTGGTTGTGGGAGAATAACAGGATTATAAAAGCTGGAAGGAACAGCTTTAGAAGAAGACTCACCACAGCAGCGGCTTTTTGGAATCGATCAAAGCAGAGAAAAACAACTCCTTGCGTTTTTATTGTAACGGTTTCCCCCTGAGTTATGTATCTCCCCTGGTCCACGTGGTTCCCCCCCCACTTACAGCCATGTAGTCTCCCCTTCCCCTGATCTACAGATTTTGTTGTACCCGCCTTTCCCCAAACCCTTGTCGACTATTGGACACAACCACCCTGTATCTCCCGTTGGTCAGTGGGCTCCTAAGCGACTCCCCTTCCCCTGTACCTCAACCCAATCACGGTTCTCCTCCCCGCCCTCCCCCCGAACCCATTTAAACCGCGCGTTTTGAATAATAAATCCTCTTTCTGCCACGGAACATCCTGGGAGGTTTGGTTTTTCTATCCTCTGCTCAGGGGGACAGTGAGACCAGACTCCCCTGGGAATACCAGCGGAGAGCAGCACTCAGATCCATTAGTTGGTGGTGTCAAAAGAGAAAGCAACAGTAGCTACATGCAAAATACCTTAAATTTGTTGTATGTGTGATATCAGAGTACAAATAACTCAGCTGAAATCTAGTGTATATTAGTATAACCACTAAAAGCTACCAATAGGGATTAAACCCTACTGAACCACACAAAGGCATGTATAAAATGGGTAACCAATCATGAAAAGAGCCATTTGGCCCTTTTCATTTTTCACAAGGTTGTAGAATTCCCAGCAAATGGAGTCTATATGAAGAAGTTTCTGAAAATTCATAGAAAGCATTCATAACATTTTTTCTCTTTGTCCTTTCTGTTCTAGTCCATCTGGACAATTCCTTATGTTTCCATCTCCACAGATATAAAACAACATATTGATAGAAAATTTGGCTAATATTTCAAAGTGCTAAATTCTCTTTAACACTCGTAGAGTCTTTCTACATTGCATTGGCTAAGCAAATTACACAAAAAAAGCTTCCTTACAATCACAAAATTAATTGGTGCATCGCAGTACAGCAAGATAGTTTGGACAATCACTTTTTTAAAAAAAAAGTAACGGTTTACCTTATTGAAGTTCAGTGGAAGTACCTCTTGTACACTGTAGTTATGAAGCTAACACTTTCTAAACTCAAGAGGAAGGTAGAGTCACAACTGTTCACTCACTTCATGTCTCCTTGAGTATAGGAGTTGGTTTAAACTTTTGTCTTTAGTGTATTTGAACAAAAACACACTAAAATATCAGCATTAGGGTTACATCATCCAGTCAATAGCCTGGAAAATGCAAAGACAGAGTTGCTATGGAGCCTCAGTACTTTTTTTTTTTTTTGGCTATGAAATAAAATTCTATATCTCAAGCAGAAAAAAAGACATAATTGAGAATTTATTCCCTCCTTGCTCAGATTTTGTATCAACTTGTTGGGTAGTACTTTAGAAAAAAACCCCAAGGTATTACCATTATATTCCCCACCACAGACTTTCATTTAGGACCACACATGATGACTATGCGATTATTTTCAGAGGGGAAGATGAGCAGCACATTATATGTGCTATGACTCTTTTGCATGTAGAGTCAGGAGGCAGCAGGAATCAGCTGCTCCAGAAGAGAAGGCAGGCCAGTAGCTGAGAGACAGCAGGGCACCCTCAAAGATAAAGGACGTAGTCCCATGGTACTCAAGGAAAAAGAGCAGTTCCAGTGATTGGGTTCAACTGACAGCTCAGATCACCAGGCTAGCTTACAGCCACAGGGCAGGTCCAAGATTATGCTGGAAAATCAAGTCCACAGGTCAGGAACAGCAAGACACACAGGTGACCACAGGTACAGGCAAAGCTGTAATATAACTCTGGCAAACACAAGGTTAAACATCTTGGTTTAAAAGCATCTCTTGTGCAAAGAGGAACAGGATGCCAAAGAGGAGTCTCACAGCTTTTTCTCTCCAAGCTGTTTTCCCAGCACACCCACTCTTGGTCCCACAGCTGCACCAGATCAGATCAGGCCTTTAGCACAGGCAGCTAAACCCCAGAGGGGAAGCAGGAGAAAACGCAGGACACTGACACATAATTTGCAATGTTAATTTTTGCAATTGCATGCTATACCTGGTGTGAACAGTTACTACTGGCTTTTGTAAATTGAATAAATTAATAATGTGCAGAATTAATTTTATCTCCAGCATGCAGATGAAGTTGGTTGCTGAAAAAGAATCCTAAACTCAACAGTAATTTGACCTCAATGAGTAAGGCCAAGATTTCATCCACAGAATTCAAATGAGTTTCCTAAGATCACAAAGAGTCGTAAAGTCCCTCTTTTTTTTATGGAAGGAGTTCTCATGACAGTTAATAGGTTTGCATTACCTTTATTTTTTGTTTGTTTTAAGAACTCAGTCTTGTAGCAAAAACCCTTCTCCCATCACTTGTCCCGTCAACTTTGGTCAAAACTCTTTCTCCATCTATCTTATAAACCTCCTTTAGGTACTGGAAGGCGCTATAAGTCTCCCCAGAGCCTCTCTTCTCTACACCAAACAACTCCAATTCTCTCAATATTCCCTAACAGGCAAAGTGTTCCAGCCCTTTGATCATTTTTGCAGCCCTCCTCTGGATCTGCACTGACAGGTCCATGTCTTTCTTGTTCCGAGGACCTCAGAGCTGGATGCAGCACTCCAAGTTGGGTCTCATGAAAGCAAAGTAGAGAGGGACAACTATCTCCCTTGACCTACTGGACACATTTCTTTTGATGCAGCCCAGGGCTGTGAGTGCACATTGTTGCCTCACGTCCAATTTTTCATCCCTTCTCCAAAGGGCTGCTCTCAATCTCTTCATCTCCCAGACTATATTAATGTTGAAGATTATCCTGTCGCAGCTGCAAGGCCTCGTACTTGGACTTGTTGAACTTCACTATGTTCTTGTGGGTCCATCTTTCAAGCGTATCAAGTATCACGTGCTAACTTGCTGTGGCTGTACTCAATCCTACTGTCTATGTAACTGATGAAGATATTAAATAGATTTGGTCCCTCTACCAACCCTTGAGGGACTCCACTCAGGAAGTACTTTCATTCTGAATGCTGAACGCTTGGAGTAAAGTGTCAACAAGTTGTTCCATACAATTCTCGCATTTTCTAGGGGGTCTTGGCTTCATAAGCTGTTACCATAACTGATGCAACAGCATGTGTTGTCAAGGTTTGTGAACTGAGTCCTGATAATTATTGAGTTAACCAGAGACAGTGATTTAATTTAACTCACAGCAGGCTAGAGATTGACCCTGCTTTAAAGGACATTTTTTATTTTTTTTTTTTTTAATCTATAAATGGCATATAATTTTGTGTTGTCTGGGACATAAAACACTCTCATGTTATCTTCGAGTCTGTTGGGTTTTTTATGTTTTTCCTATAAAAAAATAAGGCAAAATGTTATTTAGAAATGGAGTACCTTAGGGTATATATATATAAGATACTGAAAATAGAAGCATAGAGATAAACAAATCTCAGAAATCACTGAGAAACAACTGAAACAACTGAATTTGCTAGCACACAGCTCAAACAGAGTAAGAAACCTTGATAAGAAGAGAATAAAATTAATATTAAACTACCTGGCCATATAGTGTAACATTATGAATTAAAATTGAATGTTGAAAATGAAATTTGCTGTACTATGCACTTGCTAACTTTTTGGGTCATGAGACAGTAATTCCGCAGCTCTCCATGGTGCTCACCTCCAGCCTCCTCACCAAAATAAAATGGAAAGAATCAGATCCTATTATCATTAATGGAGTGGAGAAGGCTATAAAAGGATAAAAGAAGGCTTACTGTCTACACTGCAAATTAGAATCACTTCACAACCAGGTCAGGACACAGCAGCACTTTAATAAAATTCTATACAGTTCATGTTTGCAGTATTGATAAACCCTAATTGTAACGAAACACTATTTGTTCCCTGGTGTTGAATGTTTCTGTTGTAATGACTATAGTGATTTGAACCAACTGAGCATATAATTCACTTTCTTGGTTAAGACTAAAAAGTTAAAAGTGGAAGTAATAGAAGAGAGGTGGAAAAGAGGAGAAAAAAGTATAGGTGCAATGCAAAAAAAGTATGGGTGGGATGCAAACAAAAATGTTGAAAAGTCCTTTAAAACTTTTCATCTAGCAGATGTTATTTTAGCATCAGATGGTTATCCAAAAGCATTTTTAAAACTACAATGCCAATTAAAAGTGGCACATTGCTGATCACATTCCTACCTCTTGAAAAGTGTTAATATTCATTAATATTAATATAATTACAGACACTTGTTTTTAGTTGGGTAATCAGTGCATGCTTACTTGGATCACTGCAAAAATGTGTATCTTGTCTATTGACTCTTGAACACTAACATGTACTCTGGTTGTTTTGACTGGGGAGGTTATCTTAATAGTCACTTAGTCATCAGTATGATGGTCCAGCAGAAATGCTGGAAAGCTTATTCAGTAACATCATTCAGTGTCTTTTTAAAACTGGTTACATGATAAAAAAGAAAAAATATAGTGTTACTGGCCATAAAAGAGTAAAATCTTACTTGAATCTTCATAAAGATTCTTTCCTGTGCACAAAAGTATAATCTTTTAATTTATGTTTGAATTTCAAGAGGAATTTCTCAGTTTCATGTACTTTCTCAAGAACTCTCTCAGATATTTTGCTGCTTCAGAGATTGTTACCAGAATCATTCAAAGTAGTAAAATTGAACAATTTGATAAGATTACAGTGGAAGGTTCTACATGTTCAGAGGTCTGGTAGCCTCCTGAAATATATATATAAATATTTATATGTATAATTCCATACATAATTGTAGTCAAGTTAATGTGAAAGATATAGGATAAACTACTCAGAACTGGCAGACTGTAGTCTAATCTTCCATCAGTTTATTAAGGGCTTTAAAAAATTAATTTTTCACATCATGCCAGCATCTTGTCTAGAGCAAGAATGTACTATTTGGCCCATTACCTCCAAATTGCCTGCCTAAAATGAAATGTTATATATTTTCGGTCAATCAATGTTAAGTGCAATCATCAAGTACCTTACAGTCTGGTTGGATCTTTGTGTTGTCAGTAACTATTTGCAGTGCATCATACCAAGTTTCTCAACCAAACAGAGCTGAAATAAAGTAGAAACCTAATGCTTTAAAACTGTCATAACTACTCTCCTACTTCTAAATTAAAAATATGTCTTGGGTGTTTGAAATCTTTTATTACTTTAAGACAATTTGAATGTTTTTAGATTTTGTAATTCAGCATATGACATTTAGAACACAGGAAAAGTTAGAATACAGTAAACGTCTATTTAGCTCTTCACAGATCAGATACTACAATTTTCCATCAGTGATAGTGTGCAATATCAGCAACGACAATGAACAACAGCCAAAACTTTATGATTGCATGAAAATATCTCTGTGTTTTCTGGGCCTGTGAAATACCTGAATGTGGTGGTTTTGAGCTGGCTCCCTGCCAAGTCTCCAAACCCCCACCGCAAGAGCTCCCCCTTCCCCAAAACAAAGAGAAAAGAGGAAAAAAACCCAAGAGAATGGAAATAAGGGAGAGCTAAAGCAATATATAAAAATATATTTATACTTATATTACCTTTATATACAATTACAAAAACTATATACACGTAAGAGAAAAAACCCAACATTGGAAAACAGAAAAGGGAAAGGGAACAAAAAAAAATAAAAAAAATTGGAATACACACTCAATAAAGATCTAGCCAAAGACAACCTTAATACTTTCCTTGACATAACACAATCTCCCAAAGCCTACGGCCACTCTACTGGACCCCAGATCGGCAGAAAAAACAGGCCCCGTAGGCCGGGCCAGGCCTCAACTCCCCCACAGGAGCGAGACCAGCTGCAGGAGTCTGCTGTCTCCAAACCTTGCTGGGAGGGAAGAAAGAGAGAGACTTCTCTCTCCATCTATTTATATGTTTGATTATGTAAAGGCCTAGGCTCAAAACTTCATTACACTGAAGTACTATAGAAAATGAGATCACTGACATTTTTTTTCTCATATTGACCTTGGTTAGAAATAAAACTTAATGTGAAGAGTAAAAATTTTACAATTTGTTTTTTAATCCAGAAAACTTCCCTATTAAAGTTTAGATGAAAAAGTAGGAAAAAATGTTTTTTGGTTTGTGCTTTTCCTTGTCTATTTTCCTTTTAAATTCTTTTTTCTTACTTATTCCCATCTGTGAGAAAGAAGACTGAGGAAGAAATCTAGAAAACAATAGTGAACACAAAACTGAAAAAGAACTCTTCTTTGTGCTCACTTATAAGGAAAAAACAAATCCAAAAGCAAACAGAAAGGGCACAAGGATGCAACCTTAATCACTGAACTGAAAATTACCTGACACTATTGATTATTTCTTCTGAGGTTCCACTTCAGCAAATTATTTTAAAACAATAGAAAAAGAAAAAATGAAAATTACTGTTCAGTCTATGATGCAGGATCACAAAAGAATTACTTTCTTCTAAAAATGAACAGGTTTTTATTACAATAAATGTAGCATTCATGCCTCCTTCTTTAGTTCAGTGTAACTTTTCTATTAAGATCTTTTTACAGTTCCTTCCTGCCTGCCTTTTTGCTACAGTTCAGATTATAATCTGTGTACTTTCTGGTAATACTTTGTCTAAATTTAGAGAGACGTTATATAGGTCTTTGAAATTTAATGGATTTACACCTGTGTAAAAAGTAAACATTATGATTTCCTTTGCTTAAAAATTTTTACACATAAAAAACATTTCCGACTATGGTGATAAAATTGACTTTGTATATTATTCCTCTTCCTCTTGTATTGTCTCTGGAAAGCAAGATACTCATTCATGAAATCTTGTAGGAAAAAACAGCGAAGGAAAAAACAATGCTGTCAAACAGTCAAGGAAAGAAGTATGTTCTCAAGTAGTTCAGGGAGGTCCACACTTGACTTAACGACAGTGGTTTACATTCCCCAGGGGTTTTCTGCATGCATATACAGGAAAAAGTTTGCTTCTTTCTACCTTGTTCTTACTGTATGATTACAATCTTAACCCTTTGCCCTGTGAAGGCATCAGAGCAAAAAGACCTACACGAACAGCTACTCCTCAGCTCCTCAGAGAAAATCTGACAAAAGAAGATGGATTTCATGTGGCAGTCAACAGTTGGAACACTTTATTACAATCTGGATTCAAGTGTGAGATGAATCCTTTTACAGTTTTTTTTGCTCTTTAACCTGAACAAACTTGGAAAAACATGAATGAGTAATACTGAGTGACAACTATTCACAAAGGAGATTGAGAACAAGCTGACATTTCTTGGGGTCATCGCCCTCAAATTCTCTTGTGATCTGTAAAACAATGTTTACGTTGTGAACGTACACATTACAACCCCCAACATGATTTTACTTTTTAATGACGAATTGTCCTGAACTAAAAGCAAGGCAAGTTTTAGAGTCACAGAAGAGTTATGCAAGTGTATGAATTCTGGAGGCTCGAAACCAAGAACAATTTTGAATCCAACATTATTACATTGAAAATTCTTTACTTATTTTTAGCTGATATTATGACTGAATGTGTGGGGCAATCAGGATGATTTCTGGATGCTGGTGTTAGGACTGCTGTATTATGTCTGGCATACCACTGCCTGTCTAACAGGAAGATCTTTAGGCGAAGACAGGCCTGGTACAAAGCTCTGTTTTTATTTTTTAATGTATATGGCTTATGTATGTCTTGTCTGCTTCTTCCATAGGGAAATTTGCATGGTGGTTAAATCTCTACTTTATGCTAGCATTTAGTATTGCTAAGATCTGTTACAGGGACCCTCACATTTCCCTGCTAATTGGGAATAGTCTGTATATGATTCATGCGGCTGTATTTTACACTGCTGTTTAAATAGCACACTGTGTGGGCAGAAGTGAGAGAAAAGTTACATAAAAGAAGGTAAGAACTGAATTCTGTCTGAAATTTGTTTTAGCTGCCCTAAGTGACCAGCTGGGCAGTGACTGACTCACAGAGTTCCTTGTTCAAACAATTGCAATTGTGTTGAAATTGGGAATTGGCCATCCTCTTCTCTCAGAAACATCACAAATTTGCTCTGTCTTCACTTTGAGATATTTTAAAGGATTTCGGAATAACTGTTTTTACTTTCCTACCTTGTTTCTCTACCCTGCCTCCTCTATGCTTATTTCATTCTCCTGACTTCCAGATCAGGCAATCTACAACAGCATGAATCCCATCTGAAAGAAGTGAACATATTTCAGCTGTAGCTGCAGCACAGAACAAAATATATGGATACTCACTTGTCACTGGATCATCCAGAAAAATTAGAACTCTGATGAAGCAATTAAAAATCTACTGTAAGTACTGTTGAGTACTAATAGCTCAGTGAAGCACTTTCTGTTGTATCTATTGCAGCCATTTCTAACATTTTCATTATTACGTGAGTTCTTCAGATAGGTGGAAGTGAATGGATAGGTGGAAACCAAGGCTCTTCCCTGTTATCATACTGTCTCCTCATCATCTGATATAACACAGCTCTAGCAATATACAGGTTCCCTTACACATAACCTTGGTATAGTCTTAAGGTTAAATATTCCCCCACTGTTCTATGGTTTAGGTGGTTTCTGAATGGTAAAACTTAAACTAAGAACAAAAACTTGGCTTTACCCTAAAAACGTACCCTGGATAAAAATGAAGACTTTTGTAAGCTTCTTTCCAAAAAGCATCAGAAGCAAAATCTCCAATATGATGTCAAAGATATTGGGCAAACAAGATGGGAGATATTTTGATTCCTTTTTTTTTATTTTTTTAAGTGGTGAAGAAGATTTTGAAAATTGAAAACAAAGTTATGCTTGGATGTAACAGCTTGAATGCCTGTGTAACTTTAATATGCTTGAAAAGCTAATTTTTCAGATTCAGCAATAAGTTAAAAATACCCTTGAATGAATCTGCAACACACATCACTTGAGTCTTTTATTAAGTTGCCTCTGGGCATTGAGACCACCATGATGTTGTCAAGCTTTTCCTACAGAAACAGGTACAGAAATGCTTTTGGATTGTTGTTTTGTTTTGTTCTTTTCTTAACATTGTGGTGCTGCTGTAGCCAGCGTGTGTGAACTTCTGGTGAACTTAGTTTGCTTCAATTACCCAAAAAACCTGCAAGTTGGAGTTCAGTGTTTGCAAACCACTTTTCTCACTGAAGTTGTATTCTGATGTCAACCGTTTCTGTATACACAGGGAAAAACATTGCTACTAACATGGGAGAGGGGTAGAAAGTTGCCAATGTGAATTTCAGGCATTTTTCTGTGCTTCCCTAACTACATACGCACAAAAGGCTGATGATCAACAACCATCAACTAGCCTCAGCCACCACAGAATGCAACGTGGGTTTTTTCTCTCTGTATACCTTTTTTTTCCTCCAGACTTTTCTGGGCTCCACTCTTGTAACAGAACTCAGTGTAGCACATACTCATGAACCTTATCTTACCGTGTCTGAGCTTCCATGATTTTTGTTACTATGTGTTGAAAAGAGATGTCCACTACTATTATGGAGCTTCAGAGACTTTCTCCACTTTCCTCCACACTAAAAAATGAATGCTCTTAAAACACTGAAGTTCAGTTTTTCATAGTTTTGTGGGAGTTTAATGAAAGAATAAAGTTGCACTTTTGTTTTCTTATTAGACATACAGTTGCCTTCCACAAGAAGACTGAGGCCAAGGCTGTGAAAAATCTTCGAACTGATGAATGAAACTAGGAGAAGTCTACTGTCAGTCTTCTATGCTGAAATAATATGCTTCTAGAATAAAAGTAATGGTATCAGAGCAATGTATCTTTGTCAGATAAATAAATAATAAGTCTCTTAGTGTTCTCTATACTTCACCTAATGAATGACTGTCTATCATCATGAGGTGCAGAGGAAAACATATGTAGTTAAATAGCTGGTGTCTGGGCAATGTTGATTTCCTGAATATTCTCTTGTGATCTTTCTTATCAAAGCAAATGGATTTTGGAGTGAACAACAATAAGATAAAATGACAAAAAATACTGTCTTATGGTGATATAACCATGTGTTATCTCAGTGTCCTTAATGAAAATACCATAGACCTTCAAAGCAAATGTCTTTGACCAAGGAGCACACTAAGAAAACAAGATTATAGCTTTATTTGTTCAGAAATAACACCATTTTGTAGATATTATGAATTCGTGGCTCACTATACACTGCATTATGTAGTATGCACCATGCAATCTTCCTAGTTTTCAAAATGAAAGAAGTTTGATTCTGTTTCAGTTTAACTTCTATTCTACACTAAATACAGCACTGGGAGACAGAAACAAAACTTTTAATGTGTTAATTTTAGGGAATCCAGGAGTGTTTTTCATCTCAGAATCCAAAGAAGTATAGCCACTAAAGTCTGTAATATTATTATTTATGGTGTTAATAGAGTGCTAGTATCTTTAACAATTCCAAGAATATGCTTAAATTCATTACATATACTGTAAGAAATAATTTGATATGGAAGATCAGGTCCATAAATATTTTACAACCCAATACAGGGCTGAGATTGTTTCACTGGGAAAGAGTAAAGCCTTTGTGTAATCTAGAGAATATTTTGTGCTTCCTTAAAAAAAAAAGGTCATTACTTTAAAATGAAGGATCCTTTAGTTGAGTGTGATTGATTTTTCCAAAAAATTTTTACAATATCAATTGTTTGAAATTACTGGTTGCCTTTCTTCACCAAACTAAGGTATCTGATTACTGTAATTTCATTTTTTCCATTAGCATAAAAAAGTCTCTTCAGTTGATCCATTGCAGGATCTCTGGGAAGTATTAGAATTCCTGGTAATTCTCAGTCCGTGTCATGATCAGGACTAATATTTTTTTAGACCTGCCT